CCCAGACACAGCGACCACCTGGCCGGTGTAGGACAGTTCTTCACCTCCGGAATGGGAAGGTCGCTTGGCAGCATCAGCAGCTCGTCATATCGCCAGCCGTAACCTCAACTGATGAGGAGACCCAGCATCTTGAACAAAGAATCATCACATGTCTTCCGGACACAAGCGTAGTGACCGGATCATAGGGTATGCTTGGCGGGGAAGTATCTGCTCTTCGAATCGCAAGTCAAGGCTACCAAGGTTCGGAAATGAGCTGATGGGGTTGAGACAAACACCTTGACTGGGTAGAGATCGACAGGCTGGACGGACGGGCGCCGGACCCTAGTGCGCGGCAATCGCAGCCTCAGCCGTCCTATTCGTCTGCCGTTGAGGGGCAACTTGGTCCTGATCCCCAGGGATCAAGGATGGCCTGGATAGCCCGCTTGGTTTGCCCTCTGCACCCCGGCCCTTGTAGTCTGCTGTGCTTCGCCCCGCTGCTTCCTACGTGTCCTGCAGCTTCCTCCGGCCCTGGAGGAGCGAGGCCGCCCTTATGCAGGGCCATGAACAAGCGGGCAGCCTAATTTGTTCCCATGCGCTGAAAGATGCGACCAAGAAAGCCCCCGGAAAGGTTGGGCACAAACGTTCCTCGTCATGCCGACGGCGACTGGCGCGGTTGTTTTGCCGTTTCGGGGGATCACTCCTCCGACGGACCGGACAATGCCGATATGGGGCATGCTTCGCCCCTGAAAGCATGTTGACAGTAGTTGGAACGAAGGCTGTGGACATGGCCGGGACTCGAGTGCGGCTTTCTTCACATGAAAGAGACATCTATCAGCATCCTGATTTGAAAGCTATTCGTCAATTACAGAGCTTGACGGCATTCTTTTGCTTGCTGCTGCTCATATTGTAGTTATTATTCGGGTTTGAGCCAATATTTGCTCTTCCCCTTCTGCATTCGTCAACTGAGGCCCGAACGACACGACATTCACGTTGAGCAGATTGGCTTTGCCCATGATAGGATCCATCGTGGGATACCTGACGCGACTGGTGTTAATATACGACAGAGCCTCGCATCGCGCAGTTGATCTCTGTGCTTCAAGTCGAACAGCAACTTCACCTCGTGACGGTTCGCACGGCATAGAAATTGTTTTCTTTCCTGGGTTTATGCCGCCTACTACGTTGTAGCTGTCGGTATATTAGGCCGCGTGCTGGAACTCACGATACACTTGGTCGCATCGTCTCTTCTCATCTGATTCCACCATCTCGCGTAGTTCTGCTTCCATTTCTTAACATCTCACGACCCTTATTTGGCTTTCATTACTTCTTCAAGAACCCTCGCAACATCCAGTGCCTTTGCATCAAACCCGCTGCCTGCTAGTATCGTCACCCCAAACGGCAGCTCTGTCCCCTTTACATCAAGATATGTCCCAGCTGGCACGCTCAACCCGCACAAGTCAACGATATTCGCAAAATGCGTGAACGTTCCCAACCTGGCATTCAATCGAATAGGATCTGCAGCAATCTCCTCAAACGTCGGGTGGCACACCGTGGTCGGCACAACGAGCACATCCACACCGCCGCAAAGCGTGTCAAATGCCATGTGCGCCCTGCGTGAGAGCTCAGCCTGTGTAGCCTGGTCGCGGAACACATCGTACGCGTCTGGTGCCGAATCGAGCGCTTGAGAAAAAAGCTCCTCGATGACGGGGTGCAAGCTCCCACCTTTGATGCTCGACTGCAGGAATTCCCTGCCGATGCATGTGATGCGTTCGTGCAGCAGCGCCCCCTCATAAAGCAGCTCACCCGCCCGCTCGAAAGCCTCCCAGTCCGTGTTCCGCAAACGCCCTCCCGCAGATTGCAGCTTCTTCACGGCCTCGGCGAACAGGCGGCGATATTCGGGCGTGCAGGCCTCGAGAGCCGCGGAGGGGGGCACGGCAAAATCAAAGCCACCGTCTTTGGGACCTCGAAAGTCTGTCTTCCACGTAGGCAGCGTGTGAGGCAGCTTTGAGTATGGATCCGCCTTGTCGTGCTTAGCGATGACGCGCCATACAGCGCGCGCGTCAGCGACTGAGGTTGCCACTATGGCGATGCTGTCGAGCGTCTTGCAAGCCGGGACGAGGCCACGGGCGGAGATGGTGCCCTTGGTCGGCTTGAACCCTACCACTCCGTTGAAGGCGGCCGGGACGCGACCGCTGCCTGCCGTATCGGTCGCTACCGTAAAGGGCACGAGGCGAGCTGCCACTGCAACGCATCCGCCCGAGGAGGATCCACCTGCGATGAGGTCCTTGCTGAAGGTACTGTGCGGAACGCCGTACGGCGAGCGACAGCCTGAGAGACCGGTTGCAAGCTGATCGAGGTTCGTCTTGCCAACGTATATGCCTCCAGCATCGAGGATGTGCTGCACACAGATGGCGGTGGCCTTGGGAACGTAGGCGTACGACGGACATGCGGCCGTTGTCTCAACACCTGCAACGTCTATGCTGTCCTTGACGCCAAAGGGAACGCCGAAGAGAGGCGGCAAAGGTTTCTCCTTATACTTCTCCGCAAGCGCTTTTGCAGCGACCAGGACATCTGTCCTTTTTGCGAGGGACGTCCAGACGGCTGGATCATCCTTTTGATAAGCCTCGATGCGATCGAACGTGGCGTTGACCACGTCCGTGGGTGTTATTCGGCCATCTTTATAGAGTGCCTGAAAGTCGTCGATCGAAGGAAAGGGGCCTGATGTGACGAGTTGCGATACCGGAGCAGTAGAGACATCCGTGGTCGCTGCCACAAAGTCTGCGCTGTTACCAACAAAACCAAACAGGCCATCCTGCGCGCAGATGGTATCGAGGGACGTCGTCACCTGCTGAGCGTCAAAGCCTTGCGTGCAGTCTTCGAGGACACAGCATTGGTAGCCACGGTCGTTGCACTCGCGCAGCGTTGTCGTCACGCAGCACCTGGGAAGGGTCAGTACAAGCTCGCTACAGCATGTCAAGAATACATACTCGGTTGTCACGCCTGCGAACAAGAGATGGGTGATGCCTCGCGCCAGCAACACACGGTGGATGTCCGTCCCCCAGAAGCTGCCCTTGCCCGGCTTATCGATGACCACCTCTGTGGGCCAGGGCTGCAACTCGTCAATTATGTCGTGGCCATACTCTCCTCGCACTAACAGACGCCCCATGGGCCCCTGGTCGCCGATGCCCATGAAGTGATGGCCATTGGGATTGTTGATCTGACGCAGCTTCTTAGCAGCCGGCAAATCGGCGAGATCAGGCTGGTGACCCTCGCGCGTGTGGATCACATGCCCACGAGTAGATCTGAAAATCTCGAGAACTCTTTGGACGGCCGGCACGATAGACCGAGCTTTGGAGAAGATTTCGTCATTGCCACATTGAACGGAGCCGAAGCCGCCGGGGTCGACAAAGTCACGCTGGATGTCGATAATGACAAGCGCCGTGGTTGCCAGAGGAAAGTCGAACGGATAAGGCCTCGCGTTCGGTAATGATAGGCTAGGTCGTGACGTCGAAGACATTTTATCGTGTTGGTAGCGCTCGTGTTGGTAGCGCAAGCGGGATCATCAAACGTTCAGGAAGTAGATGGTTTCCCAAGAACGAGGAATGCGCAAAGAGGATTTGAGTGATCATATAAATTTAAGGCCGCGTGCTTCAGACTCATCAATATTGACAAAAACGCAGGCAACTGGACATCTCAAGGCCCTCGCGCCTTCATCGAGGGGCTGATTGTTGTGAGGGGCAAAGAGGCCCTGGCGGGGAGGGGTGCTTCGCGTCTTCGGCTTTAGGAAGCGCGCGACGCATCCAATCGCTAAGGAATTGATGAGCTTCAATGTCCGCCAAGGGTTGCGGAGTGGACGTCGTGGAGAGCAGCCGTGTGTGATAAGGCGGGAGACGCATTGAGCAGAAGCGATAAGCATTTAGGAACCGTAGTATTCTCAATGGTGCACGTGGCCTGAGTAGGCTTTCAATCTTTAGATCCTGGGCTGGTTGACTTTCCTGTTCTCCAATGTCTTGGTCGAGTTATGATCAGCTTTTGTGAGGCTACCATGCCTTGTTGCACGGCTACCCCTTCTGGTACGCGTCTCGATCAAGACCGGAGTCAACCTTGGTCGCATTGTTCATCGTTGTGCTCTATTGAGAGCTGCTTGAAGCTATCATGCTGAATGCCGAGCGCTCCTCACCATCCATGTCGCCCGTCGCTCTCACAGGCCGTGGCCGCCGGCCGCCGACCATTGATTCTCTACCGGCGCGGGCCAGCATGACCCTAGGTGGTGTTGGTCCCCCCCTGTATGCGAGCCTCTCCGCTGTTCGCGCCGATATGGTCGAATCACCCCAACGACTCTAGCCAATGAGCACCTCGTCACCATGATAAGGTCCCAGGCCTGGCGATCCAATCTTTGACATTGGCTTGTTGTGTCCCTTCATTATCAGTATTCGACTAGGGAGGTCATTGGTCTGGCCGCTGCAATCCCACTCTCCCCGCGCGGCAGAGCTGCTGAGTCTTCATAGCTGCTCGTGACCTCCGTTGTGGCCTACCGCGTGGTATGGTCCGCGCCGTTGGGTCATCCCAGATCTGGTGTTCTTGCGTCTGCAGCCACGAGGGGTGGAAGGGCGGTGGCCATCTGCCGACGGCTACGGGTAGATAAGCTCCGGTCCATTCATATGGTATTGTGAAGAGCTTCTCCAACAGTTATCTTATCAACATTTCCTGCGGGCGTTCAACACGAACTTTGTCCTCTTTAAGCACGACCCTTGAAGCCAAGTCGATGATCGCGTTCCAAGATCTCGGGTTTGGGGATAGAGGCGAAGTCGCGAGGTCTCCAGGAGTGCATTTCGTGATGTGTATAACATGACTCAATGTGACGATGCTTCTTTTAGTTGAGAATGCACATGTCAAGTCCCAACAGCTCCTGGAACAGGCCACCTATCTTAAGATCAAGTAAAAGCCGACAAGAGCTGCTCATCGTCTCTTGCTTATCGTTTTCGAACCTGCGGATATTACTATTCAAAAGCCTGTCGTCGGCCATGGCTAGTGCCCTCCGCCAGAGAGCCGCCGCTGTCAAGGCAGACTTGGCCGCCAAGCGCAAGCCTTCGGGCTGGGTTCTCCCCCGTGAGACGGCCTCGTTTGCCGAAGAGGGGACTTGGTAAGTGTTGCGTGACATGATTATGTGCTTGCAGTTCACCAGAACCTGACTTCTTAGGACAAACATTGACTGCGACGTTACACCCGTGGACCGCAGGACTTGGTCCGTCTGGACCCTGGGCCTCTACTGGGGCAGTGATGCCCTTAACATTCAGGGCTGGATGGCTCCGGCTGCCATCATGGTCGGAGGCCTGACTTGGTATGCCCCGTAGTCCTCAACGCTTGACCGGCGTACTGACAACCCCAAGGCGTGAGGCCATCCTGTCTATCATCATCGGCAGCCTTGTGTGCACCGTTCCCCTCGTGCTCAACGGCTTCATCGGCGCCCGACTCCATGTTCCATATCCTATCGCGGCGAGGGCGTCTTTTGGATGGTACTTTGCACGATTCGCCGTTGTCACACGAGCCGTCACAGCCCTGTTCTGGCACGCCATCCAGACTTACACAGGCTCAACTGCCATGACGCAGATGATACGCGCCATTTGGCCCTCATACCTAGATATTCCCAACCACATCCCAGAGTCGGTCGGCATCACCACTCAGCAGATGGTCAGCCATTTGATCTTCTGGATCGTGCAGTTTCCTATTCTGCTTATACCGCCTCACAAGCTCAAGTGGTTCTTCGTCACCAAAGTCGGTAAGTCAAGCCGTCCAGACACATGGTTCTTATCATCAGCAAAAGCCTTTATGCTGGCGCCTTTGCTGACCTTCCCTAGTTCTTGTCCTCAGCACTTCTACCGCAGCCGTCATCTACATGACCTCTCGAGCGGGGGGCACTGGTGATATCTGGGACCAACCCTACCAGGTCCATGGCTCGGCTCGCCGCTGGCTCATCCTCTCTAGCATATCCAGCATCACCGGTGGTTGGTACGTCAGCTACGTGCCCCTTCAAATATCCCTCGCTGACATCAGTAGGGCTACTATCGCAGTGAACATCAGCGACTTTACGCGCTACCTCAAGAAACCCGGAGGCGTGTACTATCAGATCGCCTTCCTGCCGCTCATCCAGCTCCTCGTCGGCATCTTTGGTATAATCTGCTGCTCAGCCTCCCGTGTGGTCTACGGCGAGTACATCTGGGACCCTCTTGACCTGGCCTCGCGGTGGGATGGCGCGGGTGGCCGTTGCTTCGCCTTTTTCTTCGGCCTCGGCTGGTGCATTGCCCAGATCGGCACAAACCTGTCGGCAAACGTCATCTCCTGCGCCAACGACCTCACGAGTCTCTGCCCCAAGTACATCAACATCCGCCGCGGCGTCGTCATCACGACCATCACAGCAGCCTGGATCATGCAGCCGTGGCAGATCATCCACTCGGCCGCGTCGCTGCTTTCCTTCATGAGCGGCCTCGGCATCTTCCTCGCGCCCATTGCCGCGCTGCTCGGTGCCGACTACTGGCTCGTCCACCGCCAGCGCCTCGATGTCCCGGGCCTGTATCGAGCTCACGGGCGCTACCGGTACAACAAGGTCGGGACAAACTGGAGGGCTGTCATTGCGTTCCTCGTCAGCGCCGTGCCGAACATTCCTGGACTGTGAGTTATGCCTTTGGACCGAAGAGTTCATGGACATGTGGCTGACAGAGAACAGAGCAGCGCAAGTTGAGCCATCGCTGAAGAAGAGCATCGGGGGCGCCGACAAGATTTATTACATGTTTTATTTCTGGGGATTCACGAGTGCTTTTGTCGTGTACGTTGCGCTGTCGCTCGTCTTTCCGGCGAGGGAGACTATGATTCCTGAAACGATCTATGATGATGGGGAAGTCCTCGAGGGGACGTACGGACCAAATGAGAGGTCTGGCGACACGGATAGTGCACATGAGAAGAGTCACGTTGACGTGGGGCGGAAGGCGTAGAGTTTGGTGTTTCGTTAATCTGGTTGGAACGGTGCTCCAGGTATTTCTTTGACTATATTTTTTATGGGTTGGAAACTCTCGCAAGGAGACTGTGCGGATTGTGCAGCCCAACCACGGGGAATCGATCACATTGTTTCTGAAGTGTATTGATTATTAGGAATTCCAGGTTGTCCAACTACTGGCAGTTGAGACCCAAAAGTTTCTTTTAAAGCGATCCCGCCTTTCATCACATCGTTGCAGCTGACGGTATGACCTAGAGTTAGATTTGAGCTTGGAAAGATAGTCTTTGCATCGTCTCCCAAGCGCCCATGGCGGCCGGTGCTGCTGGAAGCCTCCAGCTAACGACTTCACTTATTCAAACCTGAACGATTAAACAGAAGTCAAGGGGATTTGGGTGAATGTCGTCTCCAGAACTAATGGCAACCGTGCACTGATACCTATTTGGATTTGGAATACACCATGGTGAACGATCTGAAGGCTGACACAGACACTCGAGTCAGCAGAGGGCAGTCCTGGCCTCATAAGAGACGCATCTTTTGCGAAATAGTGACTGGGCATGCCAATAAACAGCCCAGTCTTGGCGAGTAGGAGGAATTCATCTCATCGCTTGTTCGCTGATGAACTAACACGATGCTTTGCTCAACCACCGCTTTCAGGGCGAAGTACTTGGAGCCGGCAAAACACAGATGCCAGAGGTCCTGGGGCTGCTGCTCACCGCGTCGGAACTCGTGTAGATGGCCAAGCACGGGGCTAGCCTTGCATGGCCACAGATGATCGAGCGACATGTAAGACAATAGGAACTCATGATAGGCAGCTGCTTTGACGCCAGCGCCGTTGTTGCTCGTCAGATTATGTGCCTCGACGGCAGCATTAGGTCGCTACACCACAGCTACAGCCCTGCTTCAGGCCCAGAGACCCTGCAGCACCGACTGCCAACGTAGAAAAGCTGGGTCTTTCCGGGGGTGACGGGCGGGGAATCAGGGGTCTTCGGGGCGAGTGTAGCGGTGAAAAGGAGGATCGAGGGCCCGCCGGCACTCTGTGCATGAGGGTCTAGATCGATTCACAGTGATCACCTCTGGGCCCGATGGCCAGAACCTGGTTCGGAAATGCGAGACCCGGAAAAGACGAGGCGAGGGGCACAACCGCGTTTCTGTCGTACTTCTCGGGTTCTCGGGGTTCAGCATCACGGGGGGTTTGAGTAGTCGTTGACCTACAGCATCGTCTTTGTGCCTTTTGTGCCACCTGATATTGTGACATTACTTTCCCTGTGGGCAGACAAGAACACGCAACGCGGCAGCTCGCCTCATTATACTCTCCCCCTGAGCTCCAACGATCCCAGCTGCTCAGTCTGATACTCGCTCACAAGCTCTCCGAATCTCAAGTCCCTGAAATCAAATACTTGGCATCCAGGACAACGTACAATAAAAGCCACGACCAGCTCTCTCACGTCGCCAGACACCATGTCCTCGACAAGCCGGCCAGCATCCCAGCCGGCGCCTCCACCGCCTCAGAACCTGGCCGCCTATTTACCAGAGCTCTTCGACGAGAGCATCACCGCCAAAGCCCTGCGCGTGGCCCAGCGGAACCTACAGGCAGCATCACCGTCAGCACCACCGTCCCCCATCGGCTTCCCCGGCGACGGGCGCCGTGCGCTGGCGGCGCACCGCCCAGGGCTACAGCGACACGAGCACCTGGTCGCGCGGCCAGGCGTGGGCCGTCCTCGGCTACGCGCAGACGTACGCCTGGACGCGCGACGCCGTCTTCCTGGCGGCGGCCTGCGGTCTCGCCGAGCACTTTCTCGCACGCCTCGACGGCGCGCCGCCGGCCGTGGGCGAGGCCGTGGGCGGCGGGCGCACGGCCGGGCGGTACGTGCCGCTGTCGGACTTTGACGCGCCGCTCGAGGACGACGGCGAGGGCCGGCCGTTGCGGGACACGTCGGCCGGGGTCATTGCCGCCAACGGGCTGCTCGTGCTGGCGCAGGCGCTGGCGGCGGGTTTTCGAGGCGGCGGTGCGCATCGTGCGCGAGACGCTGGACTTGTCGCTTGCGGCGGAGAAGGCGAGGTTTTCGGCGCGCGGCGACGGTCCGGGTTCTGGTGATAGCCTTGTCGTCGAAGACGTCACGCCGGGCGTACCTTTGACGTCATCTTGAAGAACGGCACGGCGAACAACAACGAGCATGCGCTGCGGAGGCTCAAGAACCATGGCCTTGTATATGGCGACTATTATCTTGTCGAGTTTGGCAATCGTCTGATGAAGATGGGCTTCGTATGAGGCAATCACTCGAAGACCGTCAAATACAACGAAGAGGGACAGACTGCCGAGGGCCAAGAGCACGAGACAGTTCTACACAGAGGCTCTGTCTCCCCGGCTCAGGACGGCCTGTGATATTTACAACGCCACACGTCTCTCCCAACATCACCAGCCTCCGCCCTCATACTCGGTTCCAAACATGCCGTCGTCATAGCTGATGACGCGGTCCATGTCGACATATTGCTGATTCCCAAAGGCCTGGTCGATGCCCCCCATCTCTGCGCCCCTGTGATACGGCGCCGGCCGGACCATGCCCCCGAGGCTGGACCCTGCCATCGCCGACGTGGGCATGCCGCCAGGTCCGGCCGCCATCCCCAACGCCATGCCCGGCTGCCCTGGGAAGGGCCCTGGTCCGGTAGGAGAAGGAACAGCGGCAGCGGCAGGAGGCGGCGGCGGTGGCGGCCGGAATCCCGAGGTGCCCTGTGCAGCATGAGAAGTCGGCACTGCAAGCTGTCGCATTGGGTTTGCGCCATTTGTCTGGTCGCGGCCAGAGTGTCCCTCGACGTCCCTCGACGCCCTGACGACGCTGTGGTCAATCTCATTCGTGTAGCCGAGGCCGCTGATGCGAAAGTGCTCGTCGCTGACGCAGCGGTGGTACGACTCGGTCAGCTTCTGCGCATACTTGGCGGCGAGGCACACGCGGCCGTTGTCGAGGCCGTGAGGCCCGACCCAGCGACGAGCCATCTCCTCGAGGCTCTGGACGAGACACCAAAAGTCGGGCGCCAGGTCTTCGCGGGTCGTGTAGCGCCACTTGGACAGCAGCACCTTGGCGGCGACGTAGAGGCAAAACGCGAACGCGCTTGAGACGGGCACCGTGGGCGGCGCGTTCTTCAGGTAGTTCTGCGTAATGGTGGCAATCTCCATGGCGGCCGCCTTGCATGTGTCCTCGCTGAGAATGCTCGGCAGCCGATTGCGAAACGACCACTCGGGCGGCGGGAAGGCCATGACCTGGTGCAACAGAATCATCGAGGCGTTGTGCGTGACATGGGCCAGAGTCAGGTTCGGATCCATGCGCGAGGACTGCCGCGCCATGTTGGCCTTCCACTTCTGCGGCAGAAACATTTTCCAATGCACCAGCCGCAGGTCCATCTCTTTGAACCGTGTCAGCCAGCTCGTGAGGTCGCGGTGATCCTGCATGTTGACCTTTTGCTGCAGGAAGTACGAGTTGACGCGGCTCAGAGACTCGGTCGCCTCGATGCTGTAGGCAAAGGCGCCGACCGCCGACATGTCGACGGCTGCCGCTGGCCCCCCGGCCGGTGACGCGCCCGTCTCGGACGGCGTCTGGATCTCTTCGTCCTTGACGTGCGACGACGACGGCGCTACGTAGTGCGACGGGAAGAAGGCGATGGGGTTACCGATTCGCCCGGCTCCCTTGTCCCAGATGCCGAAATACGGCGTCTGCACGGGGTCCTCCTTGCGCCAGGTGAAGCCGTCGCACGGCAGCCGGCGGTTGACGTCGTCGGAGGTCAGGCTCGTGTTCCAGCCCATAGTCACAGAGCAGAACCGATCCAGGTTGAAGACGTTCCAGAACACGCGCCGCCTCTCCTCCGTCTCGGTCCAGTCCTGCGCTGGCGCCAGAGACGCAAATGGCTGGGTCAGCGACAGCCTTTCCGTGTCTTCATGCTCGATGGTCAGCTGTAGGTATTCCACGGTCCGCGTCAGCGATCCGATGAGCGACCAGGCCTGCGACCCTTCTCCATTTCCAATCTGCGTCACCTCGTCAGCAAAGGCATCAATGCATCAGGGCCGGTACATGGATCATGGCAACCCGCACATACATCGTTGAACGCGACCATGGTCAGTGCCTGCAAGTTCTCCACCGACAAGTCTCTCATGGCCTGTGCAATGATCCAGTCCCTGACCTGTTCTTGTTTCTCGCGAGACACAGTCAGTGCGACGGCCGAGTCGACGTCCTCGATATACCGCGATGCTACAAGGATCATGGAGTGCAGGATGACGTGGAGTCGGGGGTGGTCGTCGGGATCAGCGAGGCGGCGACGAAACCGACCCTCGTGGATCATGGGAATCCAAGGGTGCACGTGGGCAAAGTATGCGCGGAGGACGCCGTCCAAGACATCGCCGTCAGGCAGCGAGGGCACGTTGAGACGAATGGGCACTCGAATGTCCTCGCTGCTATCGCCGCGTCGCCTCTTCACCCGCGGCTGCAGCGGTCGGCGTTCATCGTGACGTGGCGGCTGCGGTGGAGTGACGTCGGGCCTCTCATTGTTGAACCGTTGCAGCTCTCTGGCGAAGAAGGAGAGGATATCATAGGGGTTCCTGTCGCCGTCTGGACGTGACGCATCGCCCGATGGCGGCGCCGCGAGAGAGGCTGGTGCTGGATCACGCTCAGGTGGTCGTGATGCCTGCTGACTGACGGTGCGTTCGAGGGCATCTAAGGGCGCGGATTGAATGTGAATAATGAGCCCAGACAATCAATGGCAATGAAAAAAAAACTGCGCAGTACTGATGAAATGACCATGTTGTCTTACCGAGTCGTCTGTGCAAGTTCTCGATGGCGCCGGCTTTCATGCCGGGCTTGGCCCTCTTGGTCTCATAGACGCACTCACTTCCTGTGCACACGTACAAGGTGATTAGTGCTGAATCATGGCGCATGGCATTACGGAGGGAAGGGGGGAAGGGGGGCCCATCAATCGGCAGATGAGACGAGCTGAGATGAAATGACGATCATCCGAGCGACTCACCCGTCTTGCGACATTGCTGACACGTTGGAACCTCGCGAGAGCATCGAAGCTTGCGTTTGCGGCAGCAGTTGCAGGCGAGAGCAGCCTCGGATGACGCGCCGTCGTCCATGGTATTCTCGCTCTGCTGTTGGTCTGGAGAATCAGTGCGCGTGCCCGTTCCCCTGCCCAGACTCATGGCCGATGCCGTGACGCCGGACCCGGGGCCGATGCCGTTGTCCATGTCGCTACCGGAGGTTCCGCGCCTCGATTGTGCGCGATGCTTCCTCCGGTGAAGATTCCCCGACGACGTTGATGAGTGGGTGAGCGTGGCGTGTAGAGTCGGGGGGTTGGGTTGGCGGTCGCAGGATTCTTTGACCGGAATCCGAGTTACATTTGCCCCGAGGACCGAAAGGCTAGCTTGGCTTAGCTTTTTCCGTCTGCTGTCTGCCCACTCGAGACTATCTCGCTTGTTTCTATGGTAGCAATCAAGCTTGCCGGATGGTACCTACAGCCAGCCAGTCGTTGAACCAGCACAGGTCAGTCGGCCATGTCAGGTCTCGCCAGTGTGTTATGTCAAGAGCGGCACGAACCCCGCACACACATTCGTCTTGGAGGTTCGGGAGGGGATGGACTACAGGCGCCCGCTGTGTTGCATCACATCACGAGGACGCCAATGGTGGTTGGTGGCCGCGTAGGCGGCGACTTGAAGGCTCGTTCTCTCGCCGTCAGTGTTTGGCTCACCGGACGCCCGACATGCCGAAATCAATCGGAACACGATCAACCCAGCGCCCTGGACGAGATGTGATCGACCGTGTGTTGATTCAAATTGTCTCCTGAGGCCGAAGGATAAGGACCTGCCACTGAACCGTTCCCCATGTCTCTTGACCACAGAGCTGCTGGTCAGTACTTTTTTGAGTAAGACATGGAACATGACCACTTGCCCATTAGCTTTGAGCGCTCGCTGTTCGTCATCCTTTCGATCGTGTACAGGGGGGGGATTACCTGACGACAACCTACCTCCCTGGAGATACTCGCGTAATAAACGCAACGTACATGGTAGCTGACAAAGGCTCGCTTGCGATCGCAGTATGATCTCCCATCACTTCTTACTCCTCTGCCCGCTCTTGCGTGACCGTGCTCGTGATGCGCCCAGTTCTTGGCCAAGCGTGGAGCTTGCCCTGGAACTTTTGACCTGGACGGACGTGCTGCTCCCCGTGTGGCTTCCTCCTCCAACCTGACCTGACAGCACTGATGAGCGATGAGCAATGACCAACGGTTGGCGAGCGGCGCGACGTTGAATCGCCGTCCATTCGCCGTTCTGCTGCTCAGTCGCATGGAACATGATGATCTCTACCATGTTAACGCAAACAGAGGCACTGGAGGCAAGGGACCGCATTGCGGAGGGGACTTCTCCATATCCTCTGGCGACGCTATTGAATTGGGTGGTTCGTGAGGGGATCGATCCCTGCCGCTTGCTGATACCCATCATCTCAAACCCCCTTCCAAGCACGCCTGAGGCTTCACCAAGGGGGTCTTCAGGGCAATGATAAGAGGAGTCTGTGCCAGCGGGGGAGCACCTGTCAAGGAGGACAGAGGACAGGGGGAGCGATGAGAGATGGGGTTCAGGGGGGGAGACGGGCTAGTCATGATGCATGGACTAGCTGGCAAGGGTTTTGCAGCCCCAGAACGCCCGCCGATGCACATGCAAATCACATTTCTCCAGGCAGGTAGGTGATGGCTCTCGTGCTGCTGCTGTTTTACGGCTGGGGCTGGAGCTGACAGGCTGTCCATCTCTCGGTGGCTTCCTGTTGTCCCTGTTTGGCCGGCCGCTGCAACCAAGGGCCGCGGACCGATTTGCAGCCACCTGCAAGGCATGCGTCCTTCATCTGGGCTGAAACCCCGTATTCAATCGATGAGGCCGCCGCCGCTGTTTGCCATTGATGAAGCACCTGCCGTTTGTTTACTCATTTGCCTGCCTGCCTGCTTGCTTGCATGCTGTACTCACAAACCCTGATCGATCGGGGCAGCAGCCGAAGCCCGAAAGGAGAAGGCCGTCAACGGGGCCGAAAACAGGCAAGAGCCACCATGATGCTTGGCTTGCGGATTGAAGCCCTCGTCGGGTGATTGGGGGCGGCCAGTTGCGGTCAGTTGCGCGAGTCAAACCTCAAAATAGGGGGGACGCCTCGTCCTGGTGATGCTGGTTCTTGGAGAAGGTCTGAGAGCGAGTGCGGCTGTCTGAGTGCCTGTTGGCAGGCAATTCTGCCATCCAGTCTTGTCCCCAGGTTGGATGTCCGTGAGCCTATTTCGCCTGTTCGTCGACAGCTGTCATGAGTCGGACACAAGAGACATAGAACCCATCTGTGAATCGCCCGGCAAACGCGACAACGACAGTGGCGGCGATAGCAGCTGGTTCCAGTATTTTCTTTTGCTTGTTCCGAATCACTGGGACCTCCATGTATCTCTCTCCCCCCACCCCGAGTCCCAAGCTCTACGTGGTAAGCCTCCCCCCGAGCCTAGAAGTCCAGGGAAGAAGCCAGTGTGCCTGGCCTCGGCTGGACTGGGACAACTCAGCCGGTGCCGAGTTCAAGTCGTAGGAGAAAGGCCCAAATTCGGTCTCCCTACGACTCGGCTTGCCACGATCATTTGTTTCTCCGCCCTTCCGTGGGCTCCGCCAGAAAGTTTATGTTGGGACGCTTCGGACAAGGCTTGCGCGAGAATCGCGACGGCGGCTGGCGTGAGGGATGCATCCTAGTCATTTATCCTTCGTCGACTGAGCTCTCAATGCCGCCCCTCCGAGGAGTCGCGGTACGGAAGCCGCACCCCGTTTCACACACCCATCGTGTCGTTGACGATGTCTGATGTCGCTAGAAGGAGGACCTGCTCCATTGGCTCGTCCCTGGACGGTTCCTGAGACACCAAGCGAGTGAAGACTGTGGATGCCCGACACAGACCCCGCCCAGGGGGCTAGGCGTCGTGTGATGGCCGAGCTTGGTGCCGTTCCCAGGGCTAGCTACGTCTGGGCCGATGTTTGCGCACCAAACTCCAGAAGCTATCGAATGCAGGCAGGACGCCCAAGCTCCCTAGAGCCCCTTCACTTCCCTTTTCTAAATGTTCTCGTGGTGAAATGGGAAAGGGGAGGATATTGCCTGGCAAGCATCGATAGATCATTAGAGGGATTCGCAAAAGGTCGACTGGCCTGAAATCCATCCACTTCGCACCCCTGCAGGCGGGTCCCGTCATTTCCATCTTTGGTGAGATGGGGGTTCCTGTGCTACAAGCACATCCCAGTGGCTGTCCAGCATCTCCGCCTGCGAGACCTCGCTGTCCGCTTTGCCTCTTAGTAGGGACTAGCTGGCTCGCCCTCATTCGACGCCTGCCAAGGCTGCTGGAACTGTGCACGAATGATTTCAGCAGGGGTCTTTGACTTCCTTGCCGATAGTCACCTGCACTTCTTGGTCCCTGTCTATGAAGACAGCAGAACGCCCATCCTCATTACTGAGGCAAGTGAAGGTTCTGCTCTTGAAGGTGCTGAACCAGACCAGCCGATCATTTGACCTGTCCGGTTGGGGAGAGGCGAAAAGCCGTCATCTTCAGTCTCACACGGCGTTCGCTCGGGCGCTCGTCCGCTCGGGCGCACAGCAAACCAACGCCGTCATGTCCATGGCGTCACGCCTAGCGAGACCCGGCACCGCCAGCTGAAGTGCCAGCGTCGTAACCGGCTGTTCGCCGCCTCTTACGATGGATGCTTTCCAGACGAAGGGTTCCTCGGCGGGTGGTGGGTCGGCATCGGTGTTGTCCCGCTTGTCCCATCCTGCTCAAGTTTCCACTTTCACAGACCTGTGCAGGGATCTGCAAAGGCATCGTCCTGCCACCCCTGCTAGTAGGTACATTGTTCCCACTTTCTTGCTGCAAGTCAGGCACTTCCCGGCCGGATCTGGTGGGTGATGGGGGCTTATGGAGAGAAACAGGCCAAGGGACACGAGGGAGCAGATTCCCCCCCCAAAAGCGCCCCAATATGTAAGGTTCAGGTTGACCGTCACTGCGAGACGTCAACATGCTGGCAGGACTGCACGACTTCTTCCCATATCATCGTGCTTGTGCCGTCTTGGAGATGAACCGCAGGCCACTTGCTTTCCAGTCCGACCCCCCTTTCTCGTTCCTCGCGCCACGTGGATTTGTTGAAGACCACAAACGCAGTGTTGGCCTTCTTGCCTCACAGAACTGGGTTGCTTTTCCCGGCCCGATCTGATGAGGCGGCACTGAGGTGGAGAGCTGAATCGCACCGTGGCTTGCCGGGTGCTTGTGTTACTCGTTAGCCCCAGTGCTATCCTGTGCGACGCCGCGCCTCTCCGGTTCTGCTCGCCGATCTGCAAGAGAAATGGCCTTGTGAGACATTTCGATTTCACCGACTCTTCACCCAAGTTACACCCACTTGCCTCCGTCCACGACGTCTGCCTGCGACAGCAACTACTTGCGACAAACAGCTGAACTCGCCATCGAATGGAGGTGGAGTGGTGTGTTCCACGAGATTGGGTAAATCAATAGCCTTCAGGCCCCGGACAGGTTCGACAAGGTAACCCCTCCCACCCCAGACGTACCTGCTATTTCTCTGTGATGAGCTTCCAATGCATCAGAGAATCAGTGTTAAGGAGCACCTTTCGCCTCGTCGGTATTCCTCGTCCCGTGCAGCATCGTTGACAGGAGAACGCAGGGCACTGGAGACAGCCAGAGGTACCCCAACCCGACCGACACAATGGGGAAGACGTCCAAGTTCACATTCCCCATACCGGGAAAGAAACAAAAGCCAGGCATTGGGCCCATCGTGTCGGGGCCCATGTCAAAAGCGCAAAAGATTCTGGGCACGGCTGAACTCAACATTGACGCACCGCATTGGGACGACATGTCGAATTCGGGAATCAGCATCTCCATATCCGAAAGCACGGCAACGACGAGCTACTACACTAATGATCGAGCGCTGCAGACAGTCGGCGAAGACGAGGAATATGTTGGCAAAGGTGGAAGTAATGCGCGATGGGAATTGGAGTCGGAAACTGTGCCGGCATATCTGCGATCGGGTCGCAACTCGAGATTGGCAGACGGTGATGGCACTATCCGAGACTTGATGTCGGAAACGTCAAGTCTGAGGAGGCGGCAGTCGAACTCAACGCTTCGATCATGGTATGACAAGGCTAAGATGCCTCTGTCCATCTCGCAACAAACGTCAGCCTCCGCCATGGCCAAAGGGCTGCCCTCGAAGGCGAGTGCATTGCTGGACGTAGATACACACGGCAACGTCAGCTCGACAGCATCAACGACATCAAGATCAAAAAGGCCAAGCAGACTGGACCTGTCGCACCTCATGCCTGGCCGACATCGTCGAGAAAGCCAGTACGGGGAGCCCTCTCCGCGTAGCACGCTCGGACACGATTACGTGACCAAGTCTCCATCAGCAACCTCACTTTCGCCTGCAACACCATCACCAGATCAGCAAAGACACACCAAGAGGCTCCTCAGGAAACCAACGAAGGAGCGTCTTGCTGAAATAGTCATTGCGCAACGGCCAACGACAGGGTCGAGCAGTCAAAAAAGCGTGCCCAATCACGGATTGAATTCGCCCAGGGACTTGTACGATCACTACGAGCAAGCTACCTTCCGTCAGTTCATGGAATCACCTGAAGGAGAAGAGGAAAAGATGGATATACCAGACTTTCCGCAGGCGCCTGTGGGGCCGACACCCCTTAAATCACCATCTCATCCACGAAACAACGCTGCGAATCCTATCATTCAAGAGCCGCTTACCGCAACCCCTGGCTTACAAGAGGCAGACAGCAGTGGTGAGGCGCAGTGTGCTCGAGCCTTCTCGTCTATACCACAGGCGTCAGTCGCTGACAACAACTACGCCTCGAGCTTTGCTAGTGTATCGAGCCGTCATACGAAGACGTCAAAAGCGTCAAAGCACACGAATCAGAGTCTTGCAGATTCCGACAGACAGGAGCGAAGTGTCTTATCGTTGTCTTCTGACTCGGAGGAGGATGACAGTCTTGTTGAAACTGCATCGAGATCAACGCAGTCCGTGTCGAGTTTTGGGCGGGCCTCAAGAGACACGCCAACAAGCCCCACCACCACTTCGAGAAAGTCGATCGCATCTCGTGGTGAGTCTGTAGCCAGTGGGTCAGAGAAGAAGACTGGCAAGCGTGCGAGCTTTGCTTTGACGCCAACGTACCTTACCATTCCCACTTCTTCACCAGCGGCAAAACCTGCGTCTGTCAATCTGAGGACCAGCTCACTGCACAGAGGCAACCTACAACAGCAACAGCAGCACTTGCAACGTTCTCCCTCCAGCCGAGCGTCTTCCCGAATCTCTACCTTGTCAGCTTCGACGACCAACTCGGATTGGCAAGCGCAGACTGGTTTCGAGGTGAAGGAAGCGAAAGCTGTCATGGTTCGGCCAGTAGCGTCGACATCCCAATCGTTGGCCAGCGAGCCTCGAAGTTTGCCTGAGGGGAAGTTGTCTGGGAGGAAACCCTCGATGCGCTCTGGAGAGCAACCGACGCCTCCACTCAGCCCTACATCACTCGACTTCTGCGTCGAGCCTGAGAGCTCCATTGACGCTAGCAGCAGCCAGAACCCCAGACTCATGGCAGTCACCCGCCAAGAACAGATGCTGCTGGCAGCTCTGCGCTCGAAACGTGCCATGATGCGAGAGACGCTGATGGCGGAATTTGAAGACGGAAGCCAACAAGCCCACGGGTATGGCCACAAGCATACTTCTTCACAGGCAACGATCAAAGGCTCAGCCTACCCAGAACCGACGCAGACGCTGCGGCATCAGGGTTCCGGCACGTCGACCGGCACGATAAAGTTGGACAGTCGGGGCTCCGACAGCAAGCGGGAATCCAGCAACTCCGGTAAGCAGAACGGATATCGCCAACGAAGCTCGGACGGCACCGCAACGAGATCGTCATCATCGCGCAGTGGTTCGGGTTCGGCGTCCAAGGCTAGCAGTCTGAAGAAGGCCAGATTCGCCAGAGACAGTTCGCGCTCCGCGAATGACGACGGGAGGCATGAACGAGTGCTGCTATATCTTGACAGGCCGAAGCGCAATGTGACCTCGATGGATCTGGCCGAACCGAGCCCTGACTTGAGCGACTTTATGGATTTTGACGGCATAAGCGACGAAGAGGATGAGAAGGCCGCCGAAGATTGCCTTTATTCCCACGAAAGCCAACATCGGGTGGAGGCCGGACGACTCTCAGCCAGTCACGCCAGCAGCCAGCGCCGTCGAGCGGGCGGGGCAAGTCGACCTTCCTCCAGCTCGGCCCCTAGCAAGTCGAAGAGTCCATTGTCACGATCGGAACGGGCCAGCATGGTGGGAGATGTCGAAGAGAACATGGAAGAGAGACGAATAATGTCTGCAGCAGCTCTTGATGTGCCCGAAATGGGGAGAAAGAAGGCTGCTCGGCTAAGTGCCGTCGGCCGAGCTGGACCGGAAGTGGGATGGTGGGGTGACGACGGTTGAGGAGTGGACTCGTGTGATGGAGCAACTTCTTTGATACCCCTGGTCAGGACCTTTATTTTCCTTTGTCAGAATTCGACATGGCCTCTTGTAGCCTGCTATCTCGAGCCGAACAAATGTGGCGGCAGACGGACGGCAGACGAACGGGAGGGGGTGATGGTGAAAGCGAAGGCGAGAGTCGTTTTTGCATCTTTTCGGAAGGATATGACGAACTTCATATGACGGCGTTCATGTACAACACAACAAATTTCCTAGAAGTCATCATCAGCAGTATTGTAATGGCGGAAGAGTTGGGCATACGCAGCTCAGAGGAAATGTCTGAGGGAATACCGAAGGGCAGGATGAGGGGAGAGGAGAAGACGACGTGGACCGAAGATTTTTAGGTACACCCTCCGTAATGGAAACAGGACATTATGGAGGAAGGAGACAGGATCCATTAGACGGCAGCAACATTCTTGCAACTTCCTTCCTCGTTAGGTATCGTGCAGGCTACTGATACGTTGCGTACCTCAGGTACATAAGGTACCTTATGTCATTGTGCACCTTGCGCGGACTGTCTAGCAAGCGCGCGGCCTTGAGCGAACCCTCATCAGTTTGGTCGAATAAATAAGCAAGACAGTGATGGGCTTCTCGAATGGCAGAGCAAATCTATGGGCGCGATGCCCGTATTGTATGAGTAAAGGGTACCGAGTAATGTACAACACATTGATACAATTCAAGACTGAGACTGCCGCCCAGCTTTCCCATTCTTTTCGGTCGCTCCAAACGCCTATCTGTGCGCTGACTGAAGACCACGATCACCACGCAACACTTCACTTAGCTCCTGTTGGCCGCCTTGTCGAAGCTGTCGAGAACCGTGTTCTTCAGGTTTCTTGGCGCATCAGCCTCGGCCTCCCCGTCATTCTCGTTGGCGATAATCTGCTTTGCCACTGTCCTCGCTTGGGTCTGGCTGACCTTGCCGTAGACGCTGAGGCCCGTGGCAATCATGCTACCAATGTCGCCCACGTTGCCCGGCACCACGACGGCCGTGCTCTCCTTGGCGAGCTTGCCAAAGGCATCCACGTACTTCTCCGCCACAGACAGGCTGACAGCACCTTGCGCAGCCTCCTCGCCTTCGGCGATGCTCTTCGCGACGGCTTCAATACCGGCCGCCGTGGCCTTGGCCTTCATGAGGATGGCCTCGGCCTCACCGGACGCGCGGTTGATCTGCTCGGCCTTCAGAGCCTCGGAGGCGAGGATCACGCTCTGCTTCTTACCCTCGGCAATGTTGATGGCCGACTGCCTCTGGCCCTCGGAGTCGAGAATTTCGGCACGCTTCGAGCGCTCGGCTGTCACCTGGCGGTGCATGGCCTCGACGACGCCATCGGGGGCGTGAATGTCGCGAATCTCGTAACGCAGGCAGGTCACGCCCCACGCCTGGGCAGCCTCGTTGATGGCGGCGGTGATGTTCGTGTTGAGGGCGGCACGCTCCTTGAGGACGTGGTCGAGGGACAGCTGGCCGATTTCGGAGCGCATTGTCGTCTGCGCCAGCTGGGAGATGGCGTACTCGGCGTCTTCGACACCGTAGCTGTACGTAGTGAGGTCAGCACGGGGTCACGAGGAGCTCGCTTGAAACTAGAATGACAGTACCTGGCCTTGTATGCGTCAAAGACGCGTGTGTAGAGCACACCGTCGAGGTCGAGTGTGACGTTGTCGGCCGTGATGGCGCTTTGGCTGGGGATCTCAATGGCGTTTTCCTTCAGCGACTTGACGTATGCGATGCGGTCGATGAAGGGGACCAGAACGGCGAGACCGGGATCCAGGATCCGGTTGAATTTTCCCATGCGCTCAACGATCCATGCTGTTTGTTGCGGTACGAACCGGATGATCGTGTTTGCAGGGAGCGACGGCTTCTGGAAGTAAGAAGGAACACCGCCAGCCGCAGCGCTGGCGCCGAAGGAAGAGGGGATGAGATTCCTCGAGGTCGTCTGGAAGCTCCTCGACTGGAGCAAAGCCCTTCGTAGGGGCGGGGTGAGGGCCGCCTTGGTCATTACCGAGGCCATCTTTGTTGCATTGGTGGTCGCAAAGCTGAGGTTGTCTGGCAATAGGCAGTCCGCGCAGCGCAAGCTGAGGTGTTGAACGTG